GTAAGGAGTGTCTGTTCAACAATTAGAACAAAATACGGGACAAAATGTTGAATTTCTGACTACATTTTCAGTTTAATTTTCAAGATGTGGCAAAGGTACAGGATATTAAAACCTTTTTCATGCATACAATGTAAGGGTTTAACAATCCCTAAGGAATTCCAGTTCTTTCAATGAATGGTATATTTGAATGTGCAATTTTGTATAAAGGAACAGCTCCAAAAGATTATAAACTGTTCCAGGAAATGCTTATCCTCTCGCGTGATAAGGAAATCTTTTTTGTGTTTTTCAATCATGAAATTACCATTTTTAACTTCATTTCCCCCCCCTTATTTTAAAATGTGTCAACTAAGTTTCGTTACTCACTAATTGATTATCTCCCCTTTCTTACAGTATTTGTGACCACAGTCCACTGGGCACACCCCCTTTCATGGTCATGTAATCATGATTGGCCATGAAAGGGGATTATGTGTGCGGTGGACTGTGGTAGCAAGTGATTTATTGCACACACTTTTCCATTGTGAGAGGTGGGAAGTATGCAGTAATGAGGTGTTTTAGTTTCCCCCACTTTTTATATAACAAAGGAAAGTGTTGGTTTAGGAAGACAATGGCAAACCAATTATAGTCTGTTTCATACTACCCCACAGGTAACTTACCTGTGTGAAAGTTACCTGTGTGACTTGTAGCTTTGTTGTATATGTTGGGTATAAATAAAGTTTTAATACATTTTAAATATATATTTTTATACTTATACACATGTAGAGTTTACAGTCAAATATTTACATTACATTTCTAAACAGATAATATAGCACAGCAGCGTATATGTACGTTCGTGGCGATTTTTATTGATTTTTTTTTCAATCAATAATTAGGTCAATTATCCTTTTGTTTGAGGAAACACCTGTGATCCGTTTGTTTTGAGGAACACCTGTGATCCTTTGTTTAAAAGTGAACACCTGTTATTTAAACAAAGGCTATTGTCTTAAATGTGTTCTTCAAACAAGACCATTGTCTCACAAAGACCATTGTCTTGCAGGTGTTCCCCTTAAAACAATTGTCTCACAGGTGTCATTCAAAGGATCACAGGTGTTCACTTTTAAACAAAGGTGTTTCCTCAAACAAAAAGATAATTGACCTAATTATTGATTGAAAAAAATCAATAAAGATCGCCAAAGCGTATTGTAAGTTTAGAACATGTAATACTAAGTTACCAATTGAAAGTGGTAGGTGGTTCAATATACCACGTGCAAATAGATTATGTAGTTTATGTTATTTAAGAGAAATTGGCGACGAATTTCATTATCTGTTTACATGTACACATCAATCAATTCTCAATAGTAGGCGAAANGGTGGGAAGTATGCAGTAAGAATTCTGATCGTATGTCAATGTTTTCCTGTGAGTCAATTAATATCTTTGTATCATAATCTTTATTTCTGAAATACGTGTAATTGCACATGATTTCCAAGTTATGAGTAAAAGTCTCGATATCGGGTGTTGACATATCATCGTCACGCACGTGTACTTTTGTTTACCCGGTGTTACTATAATTTACACTACGGTAATGGAATGCCCGATACGCAATACGGAAATGACGACACGAAAATACGACAATAAAAACATGTGTATCACGAAGGGTGGAAAGTCCTTAATTGATGTACCATGGAACAAGTATGTGAATTTTGACGCCCACGTAATCGACTTTAAAGGGCGCCATTATACAGTACAAAGCACGGTCATCTTAATTTTAAAGTGTATTCAGTTGAATGTGCGAGTCCATGTGGTCACAAGCCTCATAATTAAACGTAGAGTATACACCTAATACAACACTTAACACAGAAAAAGTTTACACATGGTTGATCACTTAACATTAATTACATTGAAGATTTTTAAACGTGTCGCAGCGTTTCAAGACCGACTGTTCCCCTGGTCAAGCTATGACTGAGTGAGACCGACTGGTCCCCTGGTCAAGCTATGACTGAGTGAACGATTTGTATTATTTACCTGTACAGCGATGTAACGAAATTGTACATCGACATCAGATGGGTTACAGGTAGGGTGTAGATCTAACTGGTTTTTTCAAAGTTATATTATTCATACGCAGTGTAGCAGGGAAGCGGAGACCGGTTGTTACACAAATGTTCAAACTGCGACTTTTGAGAACACTCTTTTAAAATATACAAATACTTTCATATTCATATTTTAAAATGTAATATATACAACTCCAATTTTGTATTTCAATTATTTTGAATGCATACTAAGTTAAAATGTTGTGTATCTTTAAACAAACCAGGCTTTGAACGGGAACTTGGTAGAGCAGCCAGCGATTTCGTAGGTCGCTCACTGGTGTGACACCATTTTGTATCGTATAAGCAGGAAACGTTGAAATGTGCTGAAGTGGTGTTTCCTCTTTCCACGCGCAGACAGCTCAGATGTCCACCTTTCGTAGGTATTGTGATCCAGCCTTTGCATTTGGTTTGGCTCTCATTTCTTTTCCTCTGTCTCGGTTTTCTATTTCCTGTCTTTTCTTTTACAGCTCTTTTCACGTTGTTAATTGACCAGTCGGTGAAGCCACAACTGATTGATTGGCTGGTTTTACGTCCCCTTAACTACCCAGTAGATCGGTTATCCAGCAGACGAAGAAACGGTTGAGTGCGTCTTGTATGTGCTGTTCTTCCCAGTGTCTATCGTCCTGTTCTGTGATGATGCTATTATATCTGTCGAAGAGTTGACATGTGCGTGCGATTCAAAGCTTTTTGTGTAGTGGATGGTGCGAATTGAAAGCCAAATATTGATCAGTGTGTGTCGGTTTGAGATAGAATGTTATCATGACAATGAAAAAAACGATAGTCGATCACGAAATCCAATGGTTTTACAGTTCGATTATCCAAAAAAAGACCTATATTATGAATAATGCGATCAATAGTCATTTCAGGTCTTTCAACAAATGCTTATTTTTTTTGTTGCAAACCTAATAATAATAACAACAACCTGTAACATCAATGTTATCAAATATTTTATTGTATTATTAAAATAAATAACTTTATATCAAAGACATTAAAACTGACAATATGTATAGCTAACTAAGTGAAAATTTAACGATATTGCAGAGATTTGAAAGAGATATAAAACAATTGTTACGCAGCTTTTAAGTGAATTCATTAAACTCTCATCTCTGATTAATTGTCTATACAGATAAACGTTGCTTACTTTTAATATATTAGCTTATTTTCTAATGAAATTAAGTTTACAATTTCTTTCTTCGTAAACATAGTCGATGATATATGTAGTTTCTAAGTCATTACGAAACTACGATGCGAAACATTTCAAAAAGACCAAATGAAGGACTTTCTGTCGCTCTCCGCGCCATCAAAGTAATTTGAAATGAGAGAGTTATATCGGACTTACTTTGTTTTGATGTTTCATTGGGTCAAAGTTTTATATATATTGTACCTTCTGACAACTTGATATTATAACCTTGAAATATCAGCCGCTTTCCTGCTAAAATGACCGACTTCCTTCTAAGCTGTTCCGATCGTGAACTTTCTTTTTCTTGATATTATCTGTACCATCCCTGATTCCTCGACCTACGACGTTTATATATTGCATCATCATTCCCTTGAGAGATGTCAGGGCTTTCGGAAAAGATAATGAGTACTGAGGGATGTGTATGTGGCCATCGGGATCCTAATATCCTTGTGTGGAATGGAGGTCGGTGTTTTTAATCTTTCTCATTAATATAATATCTTGTTTCTCTGTCGGTACGAAGTTTCTCGCTTTGATGAAATGACATTTGTTGGATTTAACCTTGATTAACATGACGGGTTTAATCGACGAAGAAGAAAACGCTTATTCTTCCGAAACATGTGGTCTTCCCGTTCCACTCTTTCGAGCTTCTACATTAAACTATTTCTTTTGTTCGTATTTTGTCGTAGTTTTATCGATTATAAAAATTAACTTTCGAGAGTTTGATAAACGTGATAACTAAGCATCACGAGTTTGGGGACCTGTTTCTCCAAAAACGTTCGTATTTTATCTGAAAAAACACATTTCCCCTTGGAAAATACATCATGTGTGTTTCCGATGGGGAAACAAATGGCATGGAGCACGATGTCACAGTGGAAAATGACGTCGGAAAGCCTTGTAACGTGAAGTCATAAATCAAAGATTGACCAATGAAATCACATCAAGGGTGTTACCCACTAGTTGGTAGCCAAAAACTCCTAACAGATACATGTATATCCAATGAGTAGTGAGGAAACCTACAGCGGTTATGAGAGGAACGTGTATCCTAAATGGGTACACTCATTAACCTTTTTTTTTTAAAATGACATTACAATCAAGATGACGGCGTTTTATGACGTCCCAATCAAAAACCTGTCAAATGCCGTTTGACAGACTGCGACCCATCCTCGATACAGGGAGCGAAAGTGAGCGTTACCCCTGGATATCGAGGATAACTGCGACCATGACACCGCCTCAGGAACGAAAGAGTTATTGGAAATGCTATTTCCCTGACGGTCTTGCATGTATCTTTGATTTTGAAGTATATCATACTTTTTCCTGCTTTTCTAAATATGACCTTAGTTTGTGTAGACATTATCTTGACATTTTTTTTATGTTAAGTATTGAATTTGTATGATCGATGTCGTATATTCCACCATTTTGGTGAAAAGGCTGGATAAAGGTAGTCAATCATTTTGTAGGTATATGAGTCTGATGTCAAAACCTCGCCAAAGCCTCGGGTCAGGTCAGGCCAAAGCCTCGGGTCAGGTCAGGGCAAAGCCTCGGGTCTGACCAAAACATTGTAGAATATCCGTATCCCAAATACCTACACAATGATTGACTATATTAGGAATCACGTTTTTATATATCACATTTAGGGAATGTTATTGTTTCTTTAAAAATAAAATACAGGTCGGGGCAAAGTAGTCGTAGTCAAATGTGTATGAATATTATATTTGTATTCATACAACGTGTATTGACACAGCTGCAACATACTTACTCACATAACCAGCCTATGGCCGGTTTAAAGTGATTCGATTCTCCTCCTGTTATATGTCACGTGCCCTCCTTATGGTGGAAAATACCGGTTATCCCTCTTCAATAACTCATTCACCTACAAACATATGATTATGAGTAGATAATTTCATATTAGGTACGTAAAAATCGTCTTAACTTATAAACAATTGTTACAAGTGCTAAAATTTATTTAAAGAGGCAAAGATCAACTGTTGATCTAGACCCTGACCTTTTCCATCATTGCAATTGTTTGACAGTGTATCATGCTATTTATCTCTCGTTTTGAAATGAACTCGTGACCAACTGATATCAGCAGTAATTGCAAATAGAAGGATAGCGTGATTTTATGCCAATATAAACATACTAAGTTCAATTATTATCTGGGATCAACAAATAGGAAAATAAAACAATAAACAAGTTATTTAAAAGAGAATGAAACAAAAGGAAAATATAAAGACATCAGCTTTGTACAAATACAGAAATTCAAATTGCATAAAATTCAAAAACAATAGTTCCTTTTATAATACCGATAGCGTGGATATATTCTTAAGAGTTTATTCCCTTTCTAATAAAATGTTTAAAAAATCAACCGAAAAATATTCCAGCATTATGAGTGTCTGAATGGAACTACTTTTGCACATAAAAAGATGTCTTTCAATTTGTTTGAATATATCGGTGATGCTACTGTAGCTTATATAATTAGTGAGTTTCTGGTGCCACAGAGTTGAGCCATTAGACCGAAATTCGAAACAGCGGCGAACACCAGCAGCATGCACAAGATGCGGCCACACATAGAAAAACAAAGAGATTGATCTAATTCTGATGATATTTGACATCTTAGGCCAATTTAAAGTCACTTCCGATAAGATCCAATAATGTATAATTACTTTTAAGTTTGAAAATAGTGCTGGTTAACGAATGAAATTACAAGTGTACTATGCTAAAAAATAACCCCCACCCTGAGAATTTTCTTTTAAAAATCAAGTTTTTTCATCATTTCCCTCAATTTTTCCCCACATGGGACACCCCCCCCCTGGAAATTTAGACCCTCCCTCCTTCCAGATAGGTCTCTAGATCCGCCAATGTACCAATGCTGGCACTATTTACATCAAGGTTATATGTTTCCATTAATGTATTAAATTGAATAATGTAATTTCAGCTTGTATGATTTGCAAATTGTCTCATACACATTGTTATCATTACATGTATATAACCCAGCAAATTGAAATCAGCAAATGAATATCAGTCATAGATATATTTTTACAGTTTTCGACAGACCCATCTGTCCAAACACAACGATGAACGCTTAAATAAAGTTCATTGGAGTGATTTTTTCAATAATAAATCAGGGACGTATAGTGACGTATATATACTGTCCCTGACTAAATTCAGCGGTTTAAAGTTTGCTTCACCGCTTGTTAAATACGGAATATAAAGATTTATTGACATCTTATACTGACAATAATTAGACGACGTTTAACAGATACCATGCAGTGTGAGGGTCATTCCTGGAAATCTGTGTGCGTTATACCTACTCGAATTCCTTTAAATTGCATGTTAAAATGTAAGAAAACGGGGAAGTATTACTTAGATCTATCAATAGATTTCAGACCCCCGTGTTTTTGAAAAGTTAAACCCGAAGGTAAAAGTCACATGGAAGACATGCTTTCTCGTGAATACTGAAACTGGAAAACAATGGCAAGGTAAATATGTATGCCTGTTTATCGTAAATATTAAGTTCACAATGGTGTAAATGTGGTGTGTTTAATTAATAAGCTATAACTATAACTTCTTTTATGCATCACGGATTAAGAAATTAATATGTTACTGCCCATCGCTACATGTCATCATACAACGTTAAGACTATTCGACCGCTCAAATAAATCGCCCAATCTTTCAATTATAAATGATAAAGCCAAACCTGAAACTACAGTATGAATATTAATTTTTCTTGCACATCGGTGTTATAAAACTGACCAGAGACATTTAACAGTTAAGGGCAACAGCAAATTAAATGAGACTTGCAAACTAGCCATACGACTAGCTTTTAATAGAAAATTGCAAGCGTTTCTCGTTGTTTCGCAGGCTATATATGTAGTACTCTGTATACAGTGGTCTATTGCTGTAGCAGAGACAGAAAAGGTTTGTAGTCCAATACCGACCGCGAAACGTTGCGCGTATGTTGGGAATACCCATTAAATTCCACACTATTCTAGATGATGAAGTAATATCCGGTTCATTCGGACGTAACTAACCCACAATAGTCTCGTTCAACCAGACTCTTGTTGCCTGCGCAATTGCAAGCTACGCCGTGATCAAGCGTCTTGACTAAATATCGTTGTCGACGTGTAACGAATCGTAACTCGTTCGCTCTAGTTTTTCATAACGGACTATAGTTTAATGTGTACTTAGGATGATAAGGATAAAATATTCAGGTAAGCGGTCTATTAATTGTACTTATTTCTTTCAAAATAAATAAAGACTGCTACACGTACTGTGCGAATAATGTATGTTCTCTTTACATAATTTGTGGTTGCCTGGTGATTATATACATGATATAAGTTCGATTATTAAATCATAAGTTGTTTAAATGAGAAAATCCATATAATTTCAACTATTTTCAATTAAATATTCGCCAATGAAATGTATTATGTTAAACTGTGATTGAATTTCTAAACAGTAATAGAGTGGAAAAGACACTGCAGGTATTTGGCATCCAACTGAATATCTGTTAGGGGCTACTCTATCATACTTTCCCCGTGTGACGTTTCTGTACAATGAACCAAGCTAAGCAGTATACCTATATAGTTCAGTCGTCACAAAATCCCAGTTGTGTCTATTATTAGCCCGAAAAAGGGTAAAATTTTCACCTAATTCCAGGAAGTTTAGGTTATACTTTAGCATATTTGTATAATTAAGTGCAATTCTAGTAAAAAATAAACACACTCACAACATCAAGAAACTTCTACATTGTTATATATGCTCGTATCATGATAAGGTGGGTTAAATGACAAGTACGTAGTGTCATTAAGAGTCCTTCAACTTTAAACATCTGAAAAAAATATTGCCTAAGCAGTTTTACCCGTTACAACATGATTATTCAGGTTGACACGTGGACACCCCTTATAGATACCGTCTCAGATGACACGTGTAACTGGTAAACAACATATGCTTTGTCTATCCTCCACGTGCTATATTAAAATAGGGTGTTTTAGGCAAATATTATTAATTTCATTTCTAAATAAAAGATGGAATACTGAAACAAAAAAGAAAGTTCCCAATCGAAAATAAACTAATAAAATAACCAGCGATTATTATACACCTCGTATCACCATGACGTCAAATCATTCCAGCTGATCACGAGATTTTCTCCAACATAGGACTTAAATATGTAATAATAGCAGCTTCAAAATATCGTAGATGAAATAATTTCATTCTTTATTTTATATGACCAGTTATACATAACTGATTTACATATATTAGTATATATATTACATAAAAATATATAGATTTTATTTTAGTGAATAAATGTTTCGGTTCATGATCATTTTACTCAGAAATCATGTTATTTTTCAAGAACATGTGCATGCTGTTTTATACATTTATATGAAACAATATATATAAAAAAATAGATTTGTTATTTAACGTGAAAATACAATTATCTTATTTGAATGCAAAACGCACACATCTTGCTTTATATGAAAATAAAACACATCTGTCGTATATATGTTTATATATATATACCCCGAATTATAAAACAAAACTCCAAACAATATCAATGTTCCACGTACCTCGTTTATTTCAAATGCTCTTGAATTTTTCTCTTGATAGCCAGAATATTTCAACATGCAACATATATTATATGCCCCCTAGACTGAGTCAAACCGCGCATGCGTAAGTACAGTGTGTTGTGACCCGTATCAGTATAGCATATGTGTATTTCAGACATTTGTAACGTGACCCTGTGGATAAACAGTACAACAGAGACTGCATGTCAATATTTTTATCTGGTAGGAAAATATGTAAAAAAAAATGAAAGTCTTCCCTACCCTACTGTAATGGCAAGTGTTTCATCCGAAAAACCAGAAACGGCTAGTTAGATTCGATTCAGCTTCAATTTCAGTTCACCTCGACAGATTTATCCGATATACACGTGGTTGAGAAACGTACCTTGATTAATGCATGTAGATCCAAGTTTTGAACGGAAATCTTGATTAACCCTTTTTCTTCCACGGCAGTTTGCCTTCCTTTCTATTATAACACTGTAAAAAGTGTATGGACATTGAACAATGGGAGACCGGGTAATTTCATGTGCAAACTTGTACAACTCTGGTGTTGACGTGTACCAACCTATATATATTGTCTTAACTAGACTATTCGTTATTAACGGAATATCATTTCACCAGAGGTGCAAACAATTTCCAAACACAGAAACTGCTTAAGAAAAAAGTGGTAAAACGCCCGACGTTCTCAAGTTGACAAGCTTCTCAGATAGCTGTGTTCTGTGCAGATTATGCAGTACTTGTTCATTTTCTGGTCGCTGGTTTCAAATTCCCACTGCACGTAACCATATTAATGGGGTCACCTTCAGAACACTCGTATATCACTCAAAAAGATGATGTTCTTCATGTCTGTTCTTAACACTTCAACAGTGTATGATAAAGAACATTAGCGGCTAAGTAGAACAAGTCAAAGATACGTATACCAACAGATAAACAAAAAACAAATACTTTGAACAATCAGATAAGTGAGTACCGAAGCGAAATCAACCGTGGGTATCAGACGATGGTCAGCCCATAACAACACAATTTTATTGGCTAACCTGTAGTCGATAAATAAGTTAAAAAACACCTTTTGAATCATGAATGCATTTTACATATAAGTATAACTGTCGCTTTAGGCATTCGACTTCATCTGACCATAAACAGAACGAAAAGATTTTTCCTCTTTTTTGTTAAGAAGTACCCTTTATATACTCGAATAACATTACTTCGAGAGTGAGATAATTTCTTCGCATATGAACAAGACATTGATACAGTCAGCTATATTTGACCAAATCACTGTGTTTTTTAATTTTTGATGGATATATCTTGATTAACACCTCAAGACAATAACAAACATGGGGATTCTGAATTTAAGGCAAATACAAAGAAACCAAGTGCTACTGGTAAGCTTATATTTTATAAGAATGAGAGTCTGAAACGTATCAAACTGCCACGGGATTACGTCATGTATTGTGTCTATTCGTCTGCTATACAGAGGTTAACAGTTCTTTAAAATACTGAACATTCAAAGCATTCATGTCAATACTTGTGACTCATGATGCTCCTGATAATTGATTATGTAACTTACGAGAATTTGGCGACGAATTTCATTACACATGTCCAGATATTATTATGAAAGACCAAACACATTAAATATCATACATTATTCAATTATGTAACATAACATGAATTGACATCATTGGCTGAATTTATAACCGATATTGATGACATAATTAATTTACAGTACTAATGTCCATCCCGTTCCACCATTAATTATTGTCACCCCTTTGTATATATATATATATATATATATTCTCTACACTGTATTGTTTATGAGGATAAACACTTATCATTGTCATTGTCATTGATGGCGCGCATTGTCATTGATGGCGTGAAAGCATTGAAGGCGGGGAAAACAGGTAAAAATGACGAAAGGTTATTTATGTAGGATAAGAGTAAAGATATAAAAAAAAGTTTCAGGTTTAAGGATCCCTGTCCCTAGGCATAGTAAATACCAGAAAATCCAATTTAGTTATTAGTACATGTCCATACAGTAAACTCCCCCTGATTTTGTTTCGCATACACATGTAGTGTGATTGGGTTTGGGTTTCATAGGGTTTAACGGCCTATTAACAGCTTAGGTCATTTAAGGACGTGCCTCCATGTATTTAATGTATGCGTGCTTGTGTGTATGTGTGCTGGCAAGGTTTGTTGATGTAGTTGCCTCCTTGCGATAGCACGGATCTGATGCCAACTTTAGAGTGCTACCTCACTGAAATAACATGCCGAACAACTTACTACCAATGAGCATGCCCAGTTTCATGAACTCTCCTAGCTCTCCTTAACTTAAAACGCGTAATGCTTTTCCTATGGGGATATTTAGTTAAGGAGCTCCTTCGCTTAAGGAACGTTCATGAAAGTGCGGCCAGGTGCTCAGTTGATTTGAGCAACTGTATCGTTGTCAGTGGTCAAGGGTTCAAATCTCGATCTGGTCATGTTTTAATTACTCACAAAACACCGTTTTTTATTTCATCTTTCACATGTTTCATAAAAGTTCAGAAAGGTTTTTGTTTCTTTTCAGAAATAAAAATTAAAGCTATGGACATGTATAAGATTCATAGTTACAGTTTTGACAGTTATGCTAGAATCCTAAACATGAATTAGATGAGACACTGCCAGCATTTTTAGTACTACAGTACATGTAGGAGATGACTGGTTGTTCGACAGGAGCGTACGAGTAACTTCCCTTGATAAAATGGTGGACGCAGTAGAATTCAAGAATTATAGCATTTAAAATACGTTTGGTGAAATGGGATGAACATTATTTGTGTAATGAACACACACAGATATTATCAAATGCGTATGGTGCATTTATATAATTTTAAGTTATGTAAGATCATTCAAGGTGCACGCTAGGATCTAAATCATAGCGTACGATATGCTTGTTTGAGTCTAAGAGAAAAAAAAAACATTGTAGAGTTTGATATCAACCTCGAAAAAAATACCTTTGTGTTTTTTATCACAAAATAAAATTGACCACGGAATATACTCCAAGACCTGTTATCGTTGGGTCTGCGCCATGGGTATATGGAAGCTACACTCACTGCTGGACTTAATGTTACATGCTATTTTATGAAAGTTTAATAAGGTACATTTATGCGGAAGTAAGATTTGCTTTGTCAAAATTCTGGCTTTCCGATGAAAACCTTTGTAAGTTTGTGACTCCTAAGCTGGAGTTACAAACATTTTGTTGGTAACAACAATTTACGAAATTAATTATACTTAAATTGTATATCATAGACATAAAAGCAAAGTTAGTGTTCTTTCAAATCGTTTAATGTTAAATAATTCTTCGATTCAAACAAGATTGATATCAAACAACACTGTTGTTAACATAATAATTATAAGGGATTGCCCTGATTGTTATATTTAGTAATCAATATTCATCGGAAAACCGGTCTTTACAAGTGTTTGAGAACTGGGATGGTTAGAATTAACAAGCAAAACAATTTCCGGGTGTGGTATCCGGGTTTCTTTGATGTGACGTCACGATTATAAGTAATACCACGGAATTAGAATTGCTATCTAAGTCGGTGGTAATACAGGATATAGCTATTTTAGACCCCTCATTTGGTGCAGGTTAACAGGATGATTGTGTACGTAAACCATCTGATATCTCTTAATAGTCAGTTTCCGGTATATTTGAGTGCTTATTTTGCTAACATCTCTAAATGAATGCCATATTGAAGTTAGGTGTAGTTAGATTTCGCGAAAGAATGAAATATAGATTATCCAGCGAATCTCCTGATAAATTCAGGAAAGTATGCAGGTTACCAATCAGAATACTTTGAACAAAACTTTCAATATATCAAACATGAAAACTCATTACTACGAAAAACAAAATTAACTTGCTCAAACATTCGAGGTAATTACTCTACAAAACAACGAAAATTATCGTTGTTGTTTTTTTTTTTATCTATTTTTAGGTCACCTGAGCTTTAGCTCAAGTGACCTATTGCTATCCGTCTTCGTCCGTCTTCGTCCGTCGTCCATCGTCCGTCGTCCGTTAACATTTTGCATTTTCAACTTAAGCTGAAATACTAGCAAAGGGATTTCATTAATATTTCATGGGAAGGTTACTGACATCTACCTGACCAAGTGTTGTTATTTTTCGGGTCGATCAGAAATCCAGTATGGCCGCCACGGCCGCCATTTTGAAAAAACTATTTCAAACTTAAAGTCAAATTCTACTGGGCCGATTGAACTGAAACTTTGTAGGAATGATCGACTCATGGTCCTGACAAAGTGTTGTTATTTTTCGGGTCGATCAGAAATCCAATATGGCCACCACGGCCGCCATAGGGATCTTTCTCAAATTTTATATGTAGGTTCCCCTTGGTCCTTAGCTGTGCAGGGCAACTTTTGAGACTGATCGGATAAACAACATGGCCGACAGGCAGCCATCTTGGATTTTGATAGTGAAAGTTTGTTATCGCTATTTCTCAAGAAGTACCAGAGGGATCTTTCTCAAATTTTATATGTAGGTTCCCCTTGGTCCTTAGCTGTGCAGGGCAACTTTTGAGACTGATCGGATAAACAACATGGCCGACAGGCAGCCATCTTGGATTTTGATAGTGAAAGTTTGTTATCGCTATTTCTCAAGAAGTACTAGAGGGATCTTTCTCAAATTTTATATGTAGGTTCCCCTTGGTCCTTAGCTGTGCAGGGCATTTTTTTGAGACTGATCGGATAAACAACATGGCCGACAGGCAGCCATCTTTGGTTTTGATATTGTAGGTTTGTTACCGCTATTTCTCCGGAAGAACTAGAGGGATCTTTCTTAAATTTTATATGTAGGTTCCCCTTGGTCCTAGCTGTGCAGGGCAATTTTAGAGACTGATCGGATAAACAACATGGCCGACAGGCAGCCATCTTGGATTTTGATAGTGAAAGTTTGTTATCGCTATTTCTCGGGAAGTACGGGAGGGATCTTTCTCAAATTTTAAATGTAGGTTCCCCTTGATCCCTCGTTGTGTATGTTATATTTTGAGACTGATCATAAAAACAAAATGGATTAAAAGAAGAACTAAACAGATCTTTCTCATATTGCAATGATCGATTCTATTTCTTTCACATTAAGTACTGTACTAGTAAATATGTGAAATGACAAACTCACTTTGAAGGTTGGCTTTCATACACATCAGTATTAAGTTTAGATCAAAAGTTACCTCAAGGTGCATTTACTGTTAACATGACTCGATCAAACAGATTAGAGGAAAGAAGAGAAAACATCGAACTGACAAAGAACTAATGAAGATGGTACAAAGGTGGGCGCCAAGATCCCTCTGGGATCTCTTGTTTACTTTTCTATAAAAGTTTCAAACGAATATATCTTAAAAGTGACAAAAGTGTAATAATGTAATTTAACTTGTTACAACCCTTTACCTTAAGATATGTTCCTTATATAAGGTTAGGGTTATATACCTAATCAACACTTCATATCCAAAGTTGAAAGTTAGGCGGGTAACACCTGTTCAAGTTTTGACAATATTTGTTTAGCATCATGAAAATAACTTTCAACTTGCTCAAGTTTTAGTTCGAAATCACTAGGCAGATAAACACTGAAAAGGACCTATGATTTGCTTTCTTTATCAGGACAATAACACAGCGGCATATCCAAATCTGTATGGAAAAAAAAGTCGTGTACGAGTTCAAAGGGATATCTCTGTAGGTGAAACTTGCTCAAAAAGGATAGGGGCTGTCCTGTAGTTGAACTTCACGCGTTTGTAATAGACAGCGATATGGTTTGGGTCCGAGGGAAGAATCGACCGCCTAACCTCCTCGGTCCGAGATGAAGATCGCTGTTGGTTTGCGTGTATACATTTACCTCCCCCTAATTTCGCTTTGGTGTAACTGTAGCATAGTTAACATATGGCTGGGCTGATCACTTCCAATCTCTAGCCACCCCAAAAGATGAAGGTACATACGATGATGACCACCTGCATCAGGCAAAATCGAATGTCGCACAGATTGAGTACATCTCCTTCTCGACTATAAATATACACCCTGTTCCACTAGAAGGAGTTGGGAATGCCATAAAAAAGCTCAAAAACAACAAAGCTCAAAAACAACAAAGCGCCAGATGCATTGGATTGACCGCAGAACACCTAAAATATGGAGGTCTACCTCTCCTATTCGCATTAACCAACATATTGAAACAGTTCCTACATTCAAGAACAGTTCCTAGAGTCCTGAAGAAAGGAGTTATCACACCTGTCTTTAAGAAAGGAGTGATCACACCTGTCTTTAAGAAAGGAGATAGACAAATCCCAGGAAACTATAGAGGAATAAAGGTCACACCAGTAATACTTAAAGTCTTGGACCATATCCTCAATGAAAGACACAAACCACTACTTCTTCCTACTCAATTACAACTGCAAAGTGGAATTACTAAAGGGACACCCTCACTGAAATCAGCTATTCTCATCACGGAATGTCAACTGGAATCTAAATCTGAAAAGAAGCCTCTTCTGTTCACAACTCTGGACACAAAGAAGGCATTTGATGTAGTTGATCCTCCTACACAATCATCATATGGATGGCATACCACCGCCAGAATGGCAACTTTTGAAAGATATGTACAAAGACATAATATCCACTGTAAAATGGGAGTCTGGCAAGATGGACTGAACACTACAAGAGATACAACAACCCTCTCTTACTGCAGCTAGAGGAAAAATTCAATGGTGCAAGAATTGGTAACATCAGGATCCCGCATACCACATGTGCTGATGGCCTTGCCCTCTTACCTCACCAACAAGATGGAACTAATGCTGAAAACTGTAGAGAACTTTAGCAGGACCAACAGATATGACATCAACCCAACTAAAAGTGCCTGCATCATATACAGCAAACCCACAACTGCCGATACCCCAAATTACATCCTTGAGGGAGAGGAAATTCCAACCCCACAATCTGCAGTACAGGATATGTTACCACTGATGGAAGACTCTCATGTGGAATGAAGACTGCCTACTCGCTACTAGGAGCAGGATTACACGAGAAAACAGGATTACTTCAGGACATTAAAGGTCACATCTGGACGACATTTGTAGTATCAAGAATAATATATGGCTTTGAAGCACTCTACACCACGCATGCAGATGTTAATAAGCTTGAAAACTTCCAAACTAAAGCTTTCAAACAGATACAACATCTCCCTGACAGAACAGCTACATCAGCAGTAACTGGACTACTCGGAATCCTACCTATCTATGCTCATATCCACAAAAACACTCTGAATCTACTATACAACATTCTGCAAAATCAGGGGTCTCTGGAATTCCGGATTGCCGAACGACAACTTGCAACAAAGAACATACAGGAAAAGAGCTTCATCTCAAATGTGAGGCGACTATTTGCACAATACAATCTACCTGCAGCATATGACCTCATGCATGATCTACAGGAGAACACAACATGGAAAACCAAGCTAAGGAATGCAATAAATTCTTACGTTGAAGACCAGTGGAAATGTGATATCAAACAGAAAACAGCCTTAAATACTTCAACCCGGAAGCAATCAAAGTTGGCCCAGCCCATAAAATTTACACAACAGTTAGAGGGAATAACATTGACGTACAGCACGCTGAGATAAAAGCTAAATTGCTTACTGGAACATTCACACTGCAGTCAAATAGAGCTGTCTTCAACCAACACGTTGTTGATCCAACCTGCCAAATCTGTAAGGCAGAACCAGAGACCAGGGAACATTTTATCAGTAATTGCATCCATAAAAAACTTCAGAGAAACATATATAAGGCAAAACTGAGCAACATCATCGGTAGATATACTAACAACTCCAGCGATGAGCTATTAAGTGATCAAGGAACTTTTACCCAGATTACACTTGACTGTTTAGCTATCCGGTTTGGAACTCAATCTTTTTCTCATGATGACATAGAGAAGATTGAGATGTTATCAGGACAGTTCTTCTGGAAGATACACTGTACAAGGACTAGACTGTTGGCAAACAGCAACCCGTGAATACACTGATTTCTAAACATTGTAATACTACCAAGTGTAATATTTGAACACGTGACTTTGATTAGGAAGTGCCTTCAACTTATACCAGTGATTAGTATAATCCCTGGGTGCTCTGCAAACCGACCGGAGGTGGCAGCCTCGGTAGTAATACTATATTTGGCCATGCAGGCCATATATAGAAAGGATAATTGTGAAACATCACGCGTGATCTGCCATTGCGGTCGTTTCTATTTTTTCCCAAAGACGGACTTGGTAAATTTCGTGAAAGAGTTTTTTTTCATTTGAAGGCATTAGTTTTTTCAACCATTATGCAATATGTTGATAACATTATACTCATATGAGGCGTGATTTATATGCAATCTTACAGATTAGCACTTATAATTTTGCTCCATTAGTTGGCATAGGACCGCTTCGTAGCTCTGACGACTCAATATATATAAAAAATATCTCGTCGTCAGAAAGCTACGTTAATGCAGCTAATTGTTGCCAAGTCCAACGTCTGTATGTGGTTGCCGAGGCGAGTTACTGCTGGCGATGTTGATTTAGATCGGGGCCAACCTACGGAAGTCTTGCTAGCAAACTAGCATCTTTAAGACGGCGGCGAATGTTTCGATCGCTTACAGGTCTAGATATATGAGGAGTTCCATTGGTCGGTCAAGACGGCTTTTGCCAGGGAAGTTTTCCGAGGGCACGTGGTACAATTTGCATGTGCATGATTTGAGTGTGTCATGTTTACGAGCTCAGAGTATACAATGTATGGAAGCATATTTGTAAACTTACCGTCAAACAAATTAACTGCGATTTTTGGATTTTTTTTAACCTGGCTAAAATGCGATTCCACCAGTATAACACTTGTTATGCGTTATGTTTGGCAATACATTTATTTTATAAGTGATACTTAATTTTGCCGTTCAGTATATTTTGTGTATTTTTTATGATAATTGTTTTCATCAAAAGTCACCCAAGGCATGGCTATCGTTTCAGAAACAACTGATCAAAGGAATAGTCATACCAGAAAATAACATTGTCCATTGCGTAATTACATCTTTAGGCAGCGGTACAAGGATTCTTGAAGCGTACTCTGTAAGTGCGATTCGAGGATACATAATATACACTTATTCAAGATAGGCGACAATATAAATGTTTTCTTTGCATCTCCAGCTCACACACAGGAATTCGCACATCGGGATATCAGCCATGTGACATGACTAGTAGTTAGCGCCTTATAATGCAGCTCCTGCGAATTCCTCAAATAAGTATTGATTAATTTATATGCTGATTGTATAAATTGTATATCTTTGTACTGTAAAGCGCTTTAGGGTGGCTTATTCTAGCTAGTTAGGGCGCTATATCAAATGTTGTACATTATTATTTTTGTTTCTTTACAGGATTTTGCTCCCCTCCAAACAGAAAAAGGTGATATGAAGACGGTGGTCACCGGGTACAGTGCCACTATAAGATGACTTCAAAGTGCGGCCATTTCACCGAGATAGCATGTCCGGGACACGGTAGAAACGCCCCTCCTGGTCACATCATTCTGACAACGGATTAACCAGCTGTGTCCAAGGACACTCCACCAGAAAGAGAGGGTATGTAACACAGAAAAATGGGGTAACAGGTCAAGTTTAAGTTTTCAAAGTCCGCTTAGCAGGTTACACAGAATATCAAATCTGATTCTGCAGGATTTCATTTTGCTGGCCTCGTACGTTCATGCAGTGGATTTCTTTCCCCGAACAGGTAAGTATACATGTGTTCTACAGGTAAACATACGGATATATGTTTCATATTAAAGGTATACATTTTGGATGGCATATATTCGAACTTGGTGAGTGTTGTTCCAAATAGGATTTTCAATAAAGCGTCCAATTATCTCATTTATGCAGAGAACGTAACCCCTGGAATTTCAAGGATGTGAATTATCAGACAAAGTCATTTAAGGACGTCTCTTCTCAATAGTATATAAATATAGATCAAAGGCATGATCTAGATCTTGGACTGACAAATAACATGGGTACATTGCAATATCATATCAAATCATTATCAGGTTCAAATAGGCATACATTACAGCACCCCCTGCCCCTAACTTAGCCTTATCTGTCACAAGCTAATTAATTCTAAGGTCAGCATTGGTTCACTGACAGCAATTGAATGTATACTGTTAAACTACTGGACAACATGACATTCTATAAATTAACATAATCATTGTCTATTTTGGTACAGCTGCTTGTCAAACGGGTTTGTCTATAGTTCACGAACCTATGTCCTTGGATTATCGAGGATGCAGACAAATACGCACAGTGCATATTATATACGGACAGACGCCTTCACACGTAGAGCGGAAATATTAACAAAAGTAAGTGTTATAGCAGTTTTCAGACTCCAGTATTACCAGCTAACATTCAGAAACTAAATATCTTGCTTTGTTGAACGTATTTTGTAATGAAAGTCTTTGTGATTTACCTAGAGTACATGTAAGCCACAATCTTTAAATAATTTTATTTTCTGTAGTTTGAAGTACATGCACTTAAAAAGTCATCGTTTTCTTAAAATACATTTTTGAAATACACATATTATATTGTATATACTATCGTCAAAAAGACCTGTCATATTGATGGGGGTATATACATATACGTTTATGTCAAATGACATATTTCCACCTGTCAATCAAAATGGTCTAACAATGACCAGGTATGCATACACGCTGTTTAGGTAACCATGCCAACCTACTAGGATATAATAAGAAAGCATGTGGTTGATTTACTTGAAGAAAATGTTCCATGTTTTATGACCATAAAACACAAACACTGCAAATAATTTCATTTTTTTTTTAATTTCTGTGACATTCCCTGGCCTTCTTCATCCCAATTTCAAGGCCTTCCACATTCAAACATGCCAAAGTGCCAGGATAAGATAGTTCATCTGTTAAAATGAAAAAAAAATGATATAAGAGAACTGAACATGCATATTGGAGCAAATCATTTTCACCAAAACTAAAGGCTGATAATTAAGGAATTTCCAATCCCTATCACTAGTTTGTACTGGTATGTTTTTCGTGGTTATTTAACTCCCTATTATCAGTTGATACTTCTCAGTAAAAATTATTTGTTTGTAAAACTGTCAATATCGTCTAGTCATTGGTTTCCGCCCGTTATATATTTCCGCGCAGCCATTTTATCAAGCTTTATCTCGTTACTATGTGACCTGCTGGACACAACACAAAGATATTTTAGACGTTTGACACAAAAATTACCGGAACTTCGTCCGGAAAACATAAGAATTAATCACAGATTAAACAAGTCCACTGACATGAAGTTTTGAAATTAAACCCACTAATTGTAATGACTTACAGTGTATTTCAGCAGCTGTCCCTCCTTCCATTTTTTGTGTATTCTGGAAATGATAAAATATCAGCTATCTTACAATGCTTAATTGGGATATTTAGTGCGATCATGGTTTATTAAAGCATGTATAGACTATAGGGGTGCAATTACAATGTATCGGAAAACCAGTATATCGCAATACACAGGCCATATCGTACATGTATCTATCACAATGCGAATCGCAACAGTCGAATAGATATGCCAATAACCATAATCCAGGCTATTACTAGCATACAATTCAATACAAATGTATCACACAAATGATCTCAGATTTAATGACAGCATTTTGACACTTATTAAGCCCAATTATCAGAAAAAAATACCATTTTTTCCTATGAAATTACATTGCGACAGTATCGCAATATTTTCCTTCTGTATTGCAATATATTCTGGTAAGCTCAACCCACATGGGCTTGTATAGACTTATATGATAAAATTAGCTAGAAATATATATATATATATACATATTTCTAGCTAATATGTATCATATTAGTCCATACAAGTCCCTGTGCTCAACCTGTATTGTTACACCTACGGTACCGAAACTAAAGAGAAATGTTTTATGTTACAGATATAACCATCAGTGATCTTGGGAAATATTAAGAAAGGAGCAATGATTTGCAGAAAGAGCTGCAAATACCGCAATACCCTCAATTTTGTTTACATCCCTAAATTAGACTTTGACTTTAAACATATTTTATTAACCAGAATTGGAAAATAAGATTTGGCATAAGTTATTACAACTTATGAAGCAATCTCCACGAAATTAGACTGGATCTTTGTTGGTTGATTTCATAGAAAAGAAATATATACATGCACAACAGTGCTGTTAAAAACATCTGTCCTTACGGTTTGACAGGACACTAACAGGAATATAATTTTGCAATAGCGATACACATAAATATGACAATGCCGTGTTTTGCCGGTACAGTATCGCAACGTGGTGACCACGTGGAACTGTACCGGCAAAACATGTTATTGTTTACATCCCTAAATTAGACTGGATCTTTGTTGGTTGATTTCATAGAAAAGAAATACATACATGCACAACAGTGCTGTTAAACACATTTGTCCTTACGTTTTGACAGGACACTGACAGGAATATTATTGGCAATAGCGATATACATAAATAATATAAAATATGACCACGGTACAGTATCGCCACGTGCACGTGGAACTGTACCGGCAAAACATGGTATTGTTTTGTCGGTACCTCGTGGTCACCATGGCACTGCCACCACCGCAAAAACGATAACTTTCAGTAAACGGTGTCGAGCGCTTTTAATATATAAATTCAGAATATGGCAATGAACTACTTACCTTACATTACCCTGTATTCTTCCGGTTTTCCATTTTCTGCCGTAAAGTGTTATGTCGTAAAGTGTTCCAAAGTTGTAAACGTTGTCATGCGGTATATGAACGTGGATGAAATATTTGTTTGAATGATCGCGCATTTATTTATAACATATCACCCTTTGAAATTATAATGTTACGGCTGAAAATGGTATGTAAATTAAAAAAATAAAGCAATTTCCATAAATGTCGTAAACTTTTTTCTTTGGACGAACTTGATTCAGGCGTGCCGGTTACCGCCGGGAAGGCGGCACCTACCTACTGATTACGTATGTCCCCTAAGTCCCGCATGTTCGGCACCTGCCGTTCGATTAGAAGTTTTGCCGGACTGCAGAGAAATGCAAAGCCATACAAAATGTTATTTGCGTCCGCCAAATTGCGCATATGCGTGAATGTAGTGTGCCGGCGGCAAGCACAAACCCGACATGTCAAACCAAGTTTGCCCTTTTGCTAGGTGACGTTTTCTTTTGTCACTGCGTGAATAGATGATAAAATAAAAGAGGCGTTATTGAGCTTTTCTACCTGAGCTTTTTATTGCAAAATTTATATTGGTTATAAAGAAATTTTACCGATATAGTCGTTTGTCAGACATTAAAATCTCAATCAATCAATAGCAATATATAATATAACAGTCTACCCCTTCGGGAACCTCAAAGGTGACTGATTCATATTGGGAACATCTCAGTTTGAAATTCGGAACGCCTTTTGGTTGTATGTTAGATCTATTCCTAAATCGATATCTGAGTTATCCAAAAGCTTGTTATTAGCGACAGAAGCAAACACACGAAAACTGTAAATAGAAGAGGTCAAAATCTGGGACTGAAACCAAAATTAATAGTCCCCACTGGGGTTCCCCCAGGGGTGACCAAAAATGTGATAAAGTGGAAATATATTTCGCAAAGATTTGTATCTGGTTAATATTTATTCATATTTATTTATTGATGCAAATATATGTCTGCAACACATTGTTTTTTTAATTATTAACGAACTTGGTGTAAGGAATCTTAATGGTTTTCTGTTAGTTGTGTTATGTAAGAGTGCATGGATCCTTAATATTAGTGTGCTTTTCAGCTTTATTAGCTTTAGTTACATCATTCAGGACTAAATTCGAAGAAAACATACAGAGGTAACTAAAGAGACCCGAGTGATTTTTTACATGCATGTTTCTATATTGTTTCTCTATGTTCTGTATTGAATTATCACAATATTGGTTTTTTGTAATATAGGAAATGAATTATTGTGAAGTGTGACCACTGATGCTATTCTAGTTAATTTGAAAAAAATTATGGTAGCCTAGCTTTCAGATTTATTGAAATTATAATTTATATGTTGAAATAGGTATACTATTTTATAAGGGTTTTTCACTTTGTTTCAGTGGTACACATCAAGTATTAGTGCATTCTACAACTGTTCAAAGTAGGATATTGTGGGATGTCTGTGGCGTAAAGTTTTTTTAATAGTTTGTAATGTTTTGTATGAACATGTACTAGTAAAATGATACATGTCGGTATGTAGTGGAAAAGGCGTATTGATATGTGTATTATGAATGTATTATAATTTTGATAAAAAGTTCATTGTATTCAAATTATATCAAATGATAAAAGATAAATTTAATTGCGATATTATGTTCTTGCTGTTATGTAATATTTAGATTTAGTGCAGTCAATGTTATGCGAGTTATGTCCCCTGAAAATGTCAGCGTAATGTTAGTGTGAAGTAGGGTTTTAAATTCAGAATAAATAAAGCAAAAACCAACTCAACGGTGTTGCGGATTACATGATTTTCAAAAGATATCACCGTAACAGTAAAAACAGAAGAGAATATATACTATGATGGTTGTATGCTGACTGTATATTGTATATCGCAAAACGAAAGTGCTATTCTGGAAATTCTTGACATAAAGGTGTCTCGTCTAACTTCAGGTGTTTCATTTCATACTATACTTAAACTGAAACTATCTCAAATGTAACGTTATACGATACTCTTAAGGAAAAGAAAAGAAACACTTATGAGATCTGGAGATGACAATCGCTAGTGTCGTCTCCAGATCTCATATTGCTTATAAGTGAGTAACGAAGCGAAACAGCCGTGGGTATTCGACGATGATATTCATGATTCTTGTTATTCAATCTGCAAGATCTGTTTTAGAAAATGCTTGTTAGATCTCCCTCCGAAACTTTCTACTGTAATTTTAAAATACAACAGAAGTAAGAGCATCCCTAGAAAAGAAAGGATCGGTAGTCTCGACATTGTGACGAATTTATGATAGTAAAGTATCTCTCATTGTCATTGAGCCACGTGTTATTAGTGTGTCATATTATTTTCTTAACAACGTACCTTCTCTCATGTTTACAATGTAGCTCTTTCTCTCCTCTCCTATCAGGCCTTTTAAATGATGCAATGTTCTGCTATTGCAATACTGACATGTTTATATAAATAGTACATAGCCACAGAATTCTAACTTCCTCTAAATATATCTTAAAAGGTGTATTGGGTCAAATAACACCCTTAAAATCGATTAGATACTAAAAACATATATCTCCTAAAGAAACTACGTACAGTAGTTAAAAATGACTTGAAAAGAAAACAGGAAAATGTTCACGGATTTCCGTCATATTGTTAGAGTGATTTCCCGAGCCTTGACGAACATTCCAAAATGACTATTGATCGATGTTTGTCGCCTGACGGAAATGGTATCCATAGATACCTCGGCATTATTTCCTCAAGTGTTTACAATCGATAAAAATACATGCAGAAATTGCTCTGTTGGTTTGTCTACTATCCTTTTCCATGATGGATAGCGCATCTGAACTTTTAAAGAAAATATCCAGTTCGAAAAAGTATAATAACATGAGCTCCCACACTTTGAACAAGTACAGAGACCTCAGCAAAACTGAAACTAAAACTGGAAATAGGATACGTTGGATTGATCATGCATGACGTGTATTGGTGACATGGTATAAAAGGTAGAAATCTTGACGATTTCTGATGAAATAGTGATACCATAGTAACACTCCTTCTCATAGAAACTAGTTTTCTTTTGTTTTACGTCAAAACCTTTATGAGAAGTAGTAACTTTGTGTCTGCTAGCACTTGGGTCTAGGCCATGTTCATTGTTCGCACCTCGTACTAGAATGACGTGTTTTGGTAGATCCACTGCCGTCACGTGATATCACATACGGGATCGGTAGGCATTTCCTGGAGTAATAATCAATGGAAATGAAAAGTTATCTTTGCCTTTTTTGATAGTAAACCAAGAATCCTCGATGTATCATATTCGTTGTAAATTTGAATGACTTACACCCTGAGGCAATAAAGACGGTCAGTAAAGTATTAGGGTACTCGAACACAATATAATATATATTGTCCTTGTAAGGAACCAGGCGCGTAACAACCTATGTAGCAAAAAAGCCCGGGCTTACACATCATTTTTGACAAAATAAAAAAATAAAAATAAACACAACATAGACTATATGATATAAAATATTAAAAAGCAATGACAGGTGTTTTGTATCTGCTATAAAGACCGCCAACTAAAATGCTTCGTTGCAATCAAAGTCTCTACCAAATGTAGAACTGAGGTTAGCATATTCATTCTGCATAGTAATCGCGCCAGTGGAACTCTAGCCTTGCTAATTATCGGTGTACCCAAACACTAACTCTAGTTTTCCATGTGAAATAAAGTGTTTCTAAGGTTTTTTTTTACCGCTTTTATACATATAAAGGGAACAATATGGTTGGTAGCCTGGCTTCAATCATTCGACATGGTAACCGTGTCAGTGCAACTCTAGCTATGCAAATTATTGGTATACACACAGTACTCACTAGCCCCCCGCCCCCCGTAAAATAAACAGTTCCTATGATTTTTATCCCCTTTATTAATACAAAATATATATGGAATGGTCATTAACCATGGCTTTATATTTTACATTGACCAGTATATCGGTTCTTATGTACATAATGTTAAACTATTCCTAGTGATGGCTTGTGATACTAGTCTCATGTCCCCGCGCAACCGGAGTCACAGTCGCGAGGAGAAACTCTTACAACAACTATCCCAAAATCCACATGATTTAATTTTTTCTTTTCCGTGGAATAATGTTACCGAACTCCAAAACAGAATTGGCGCATTACACATTGAAAACCCGTTTGTTACGCCCCTGGGAACCTTAATGGTTTTCTGTTAATTGTGTTATGTAAGAGTGCATGGATCCTTAATATTAGTGTGTCATCTGTATGTCAGGAATTTGAGAAATGCACGTCACATAAAATCATATGACAGCTTTATCGGACTAGCCGAGTGTATGAATTACAAACTTCAGTTACATCATTCAGGACTGAATTAGAAGAAAACATACAGAGGTAACTAAAGAGACCTGAGTGATTTTTTATACACATGTTTCTATATTGTTTCTCTATGTTCTGTATTGAGTTATCACAATATTGGTTTTATGTAATATAGGAAATGAATTATTGTTTAGTGTGACCACTGATGCTATTCTAGTTATTTGGAAAATATTTATGGATAGCCTAGCTTTCAGATTCATTGAAATTATAATTTATATGTTGAAATAGGTATACTATTTTATAAGGGTTTTTCACTTTGTTTCAGTGGTACACATCAAGTATTAGTGCATTCTACAACTGTTCAAAGTAGGATATTGTGGGATGTCTGTGGCGTAAAGTTTTTTTAATAGTTTGTAATGTTTTGTATGAACATGTACTAGTAAAATGATACATGTCGGTATGTAGTGGAAAAGGCGTATTGATATGTGTATTATGAATGTATTATAATTTTGATAAAAAGTTCATTGTATTCAAATTATATCAAATGATAAAAGATAAATTTAATTGCGATATTATGTTCTTGCTGTTATGTAATATTTAGATTTAGTGCAGTCAATGTTATGCGAGTTATGTCCCCTGATATTGTCAGCGTAATGTTAGTGTGAAGTGCTTTTTGAAGGGTTTTAAATTCAGAATAAAAAAAGCAAGAACCAACTCAACGGTGTTGTG